AAAAGTCACTTACTTAGAGCCTTTGACGACTTTAGTTTTACGTGGAGAAAAGGCACTCCTGTTAGAGGTTTGTTATTTATTTATTATGTTATTTATGCTGCATACTTTAGACTTTGGATTAAAATATGAGAATATTAATTTTCCATGAATAATTAGGTACTCATTTACATATCGTGGGTGACCTTGAAACCTTGTATATGCCATATTTGGTCATAAAAGCGCGGATCTTGTGATCAAAACCTCGTATTCTTATTGTAATATACTGCCAATTTAAAGAATATCGTGGGTGACCGCTTGAAACCTCGTATATGCCATATTTGGTCATTTTGACTTTTTGGTACTGTTCGAAAGCTTGTAAAAGCACGGATCTTGTGATCAAAACCTCGTATTCTTAGCTTGATTGTAAATAACTCAAAAAACACTAATTAAATAACACGTATATAAACAGTCAGATTTAAAACCTCGTAAAATATATTATTATACAAGGTTCAATGTTTCTTTTCTGAGGATGAAAATGAAAAACCTTGTATACTGTATTATTATACTAGTTTTTGGTTCAATAGGCTGGAGTAATCAAACTGATTTCTGAAGAATAGTAGAAGTCCATTTCAAATTTATGTGCAATTCATTTCTTCAGTGATTTTCTGTCAAAGTGATGCCCAATGCATTGTCAATTGTTTTCCGATAAAGGCTTTGTGATATTTTCTTTTTTTCTAGGCTGGTAGTCCATTCCGCCAACCATTATTAAAGTTTTTATTACGTTATCCAACACAAACAGTTGAACTATTTCTCTCAGAAGCTGCATTGAAAGATCAACAATGGACCAGATTCTTAGAGGTAAACAGTCAATTTGAGTTCATTCAAATATTCAACCAAGCAAATGCCATGTCTCTGAAAACTTTTCGGGAGCCGCGGTTGCTCAGTGAGTTAGACGCTTGCTCGCTAACCTGAAGGTCCAGGGTTCAATCCCGGCATAGGTTGAGATAATACCTTTGGATTTTTCAACCCGGTTTCCCCTGTCAGTGATGCAGGTAAGAAGGACTGACATGGAAAAAGTGTCTAGTCGTTTGGATGGGACAATAAACCGAGGCCCTGTGTGCTACAGGCTGTGCGCGTTAAAGATACCTCGACAGTTGGAAATCGAAAAAGAGTAGGCTAATGCCGCTGTCCTGGCAAAATTTCCCTCATTGCACCCTGCATGGCGTTGCCCGCTTCATTAGCTCACATGGTGTAGTAAAGTAGGACGTAGAACTCAATTCATTTCATTTCATTTTCTGAAAACTTTTCTTCCTTGTGAGGAAATGTTCATTGTTAATCTTAGACTTGACAATTTGTTTTTCAATCAATGCTGGAGAGTGTATAGTAAACCAGACAAAAAACGCAAATTGACACGACTTGAGCTTCATTTTTATCAAATTGAATGATGTGAACAGACATATAACAACAAGTAAACTGTTTTTTTCAGTTTATGATCAAACATAAAGATGGTGGTTCTATAAGACAGGTTTTAAAGTCAAATTCAACAAGATTGATTAATGTAACCAGTGGACAAATACCAGTAAGTTTTTGTACCACCACTTGCATTAGAATCTTCATTATTACATTCTGAAGATTTTGTGGAATATGTTATTTTACAAGGCATTATCAAAATGTCAACTTTTTATACGCCCACATGAAATGGGGGGCGTATATTACTGTCACCCGTGTCCGTCGGTCCGGCCAGCCGTCCGTCCGTTCACAATTCTCGTAGGCGCGATAGAGGCTACAGTTTTAT